TTCGAAAGAGGCGGACGTCTGCTTTCCAACGATACCAATTTCAATTTCATCCGGAGCTTGGTTAACGATTTACTCGCATAAATTTGCATAAATTATGATATAAAAAAATGTTGCAATTATGCATAAATGTATTTAGCGGTTCAAATTTCAAATATGTCAAAAAATTTTATGAATATGACTGAAAGACACGGTTATGATCTACAAGTACCCGAAGTTTCATGCATGTAGCATAAATAGAAATATTTTTATTGAATTTTTATATAAACTAGGTAGTGGAGTAAAATTTACATTTTGTGCTCACATGAAACAAATACCTTTATCAAAGGTCCTTTTTTATTGCTGCAACATGTTATCAATACAAATTTCCAATATTTCTTACTCTCCAAAGATAGTATGGCACCAAAATAAGTCTGTGATACCCACAAAAGAACACTCAAATCATGATTAGCAAAATGTCTTTATTTCTACAATTACTACATACATTCTTAGATAATCATTACACCATTGACTTTAGTTATTAGTGGCATAACCAGCCTCAAAATTTGGTCATGCTATTCAAATTTGAAATAATCACTACTCATTTGTTTAGAAATTGATTGTTTTCACAATCTAGAACATGAAAATATTTGCAAATAGCATGACCAAGTGTTGTTGGGCTGGCATCATCATAATTAGTAGTTATAAAAAAGTAATGTTTTCCAAGGCAGTAATGTTTGCTAAAGCAGTAATGTTTGCCAAAGCACATAATTGGATTATGTGGTGAAAATATTTCCTTTATATTGTACTACAAAAGACCTAAGACTGTAACCAAACTGATATCAGATCACCACGTCATACCCAAATCTGTTGCGATGAATATCTGGACTTCTTCCTGTATAAATTTCAAAGTCGCAATATAACCATTAGGATTGTCTGCAGCAACCCACAGATTTATTCCCCACATAGTAGGTCATCTAGCTTTCATGAACTGCCTAACCCCCAACCTATTTCTTGATTTGACAGTGTGTTTGTCTGCAACAACAATATTCTGTGACGGCTGGTACAGTTGTTGATGCAGTTTATTGCTGTAGTCTTTAGTACAGGATCTACCATATTCACAAACGCCATAAGCGCTTTGTACCTAACCCGAGAAATTATGTCTATTGCCCACAGACCATGATATAAGGTTTTTACACTCCAATAATTTTCAATCTCACTGTCGACCTTTAGCAAACCTGCATGTTATACTAAAAGGCAATCAACCTCTCAAGGTTGGTGGACTGCAAGACCCTTTTTTATTAGTATATGGGATAACTTTTGAGTTATTTGTATGTGGGCATATGTATTGGTATGGCCAGGAAACTACCTCCTGAAGCATTAGTAAAAAAGAGTCGAATGAACTCAAGCTCACAGTTCATCGAGCCGAATGAACTCAAGCTCACAGTTGATCGAAATGGATCCCGGACATGTCAGTCAGGAGCAAAATCTGGGAGAACATTCCTGGCGTCAGGATCATCATATCCGTCATGTACTATGGGGCCTAGTGGGGATGCTAGACAGGGAGCTTTCGAAACATTAGGTCCTAATGGCTGGGCTTCCCTCTACCTCTACTCATCCCCCTACCTTCCCTCTGGGTTGGTGAGTGGGGTTCTCATGACTCATCAGAACTCTACTTCCCCGAGGCTATGAAACAGGAACAGCAGATAGGAACAGGATCAATATATTCATCAGTGCGAATAAAAACTTTTATAGACATGGTGCCACTTAAAATTATAATAAGAGCCAACTAGTAAGATATAAGTATGAATACTTGGCTATTATGTATGTAACAAAACAACCAAACATGTGCTCAAGGCTCATTTTACTTCGCCTAAGAATCAGAGATTTTTATGCCTAAAACACCATAAATTTTTGTCAACAATATAAATAAATACCATTTATATTTGTCAATTTCAGTATGAAACGATTATTTCAACACAAAAAAGCGATATGGGGACATACTTGGTCGTACTAGTGAAGCTACACTAAATACAAATAAATTTACAACGCCATGGCAACGGCAAAACATTGAAATAGAAATTGTCTAGAAATGATACAAATACTTGCCTTGAAACTCCAGACACGACTCCCAATGCCAGGTTGAGATACTTGTCTTCATACGAAGACATTCCATCATTACTAGCACTATCAGTTTGCAAAATAAAGCCAAAAACGTCTTCAGAATGCGATTCAAACAAAACTACAACACGGGTAGGGATAAAGGGCGGATGCGGATACGGATGCGGATGGCGGATACGGATGCGGATGAGAAAATACGGATGAGAAAATGCGGATGGGGGATAAAACGCGGATGGGAAAATGCGGATGGGGGATAAAACGCGGATGGGAAAATGCGGATTGGGGATAAAACGCGGATGGGAAAATGCGGATGGGGGATAAAACGCGGATGGAAAATAATAATAATAATAATAAATAATAATAATAAATTATAATTTAATAATTTCTATTATACTGACAATTATTTGCGAAATTAAAGAGGCAATGTCACCCATATTTGACTAAAAATGCATTTTATTTACAGTGTGAACTGTAATTCTGAAAATAAACATCGTAAATGGATTTATGTATGACATAAGAGTAATACGCTTTTTGTGTTTGTTATTGCTTTATTTTGTAATTACAGCCATTCTTTCTCAGTTTTGTACAAGTTTTGAGAGAGTCAGAATTCCTCAAAAATCGGTGACATTGCCCCTTTAAGAGTCCGTCTCTGTAATTTCCGACCACTCGATACTGGTTCAAAAATAAACCCAGCCTAAAACTTTGTGTGTGGATTAAGAAACCCTTGCTTATCATCAATACAAAAGGGGTTTGTTTCAAATTTCAAAAGATTTCGATATTTGGGCAATTTTACGTGTGTACGTCGAAGCACGAAATTAGCATCGCTGCAACACACAAAAATTAGTCATCTTTGTCACGTTCTCGCGCTCTCAAAAATGATTCAATCCGAGATATACTCTGCAGGCCTGCAGTTTATTGCACTAGCTCAGCATTTATGAACTCAAACTTTGGATGTCTTAAAACAACTTGGAGATAGTGCCGACTATAAATACGCGGCTAATCGACCGGGTGAAAAAGTAGCATTTCTAAATATATATTTTCTCCATACTGGCACAACTCTACTTATCAAGAGTTGTGCACGCTTAATAATTACGAATAACAGCACTAGTTTCCGTAAAAACATCCATGGCTATCATCACTGGGACAAAATAAAACAAATTTGAAATGTGAGGATTTTACATACCTGCGCACGCTAGTTACGGCAATTTACATTCATAATTATCCGCTACAAATCGTAAAACAATCGCACATCAAATAGCTCGGAACAGTGGCTAATACTGCAAAATGTGTTGAAGTCAAGTGTCATTGTGTCAAGATGTAATGCGAGACTGTAGAAAGTCTCGCTTCATCATCTCCTTGCCGATACAGCGGCGCCACGTTTATAGCCGTTTTATTACAACTGTAATTCTATCCATCCTCCAAATTTGAATCCACAAAGAAAACAGGATCCTCCAGAGTACATAACAGCATAACTGTATTCAAATGCAGGCTGGCTGTATAAACTGTTCAAAGTCCATGATGTCCATCTAATTTGCAACAAATTCAATGCGACGTTTCATAGTATTTTGACATTTACGCTATCTGATAAACAAGTTTGTGCCAGTGCTTCCACAACCACCTCTTCAAATGTCCTTTCACATTCAATTTCATAATCTCAAAATTTCTCCGCCACCGAAGACAAAAGAAAGAAAATTCAGGCAAATTTGAGTCAATTTATCATAGCACATGTTTTAAAATTAAGTCATACTGTAAGTACCCTCGATGTAGCCCCAGCGCAATGCTTGGCCCCAAGTAGGTCACATCCATTTTCGCTTTTGCATATATTAAACAGCGATAATTACACATCTTAGCGCAAAATGTGTTGAAGTCAAGTGTCGTTGTGTTGAGAACACTTTCAAGGATTTCTTTATGTTGCGAGACTGTGGAAAGAAAGATCGCTTCATCACCTCCATGCCGATACAGCGGCGCTATGTTTATGGCTGCTATCCAACTTCCAAAGCGGCCATAAAAACACAAAACAGCGTCCTCCATAGACATAATTTTACTCGAATGCAGGCTGTACAAACTGCATGAAGATGATGCATTTGTAACAAATTGAATGGGAACTTTATTTTGACATTGCGTTCTTTCTAATGATAAACAAACTTGCCAATTTTCGCCTCGTTACCGTCGCTTGCAACTAGAGGTGAACAGTTGCGGTCGCGGATAAAAAATTGTCTATTCGCGTGAGAATCTTTATTACCATTTGGAAGCAACCGTTCGGCCCAAACATTTTTACGCGTTGTTTTACACTTGAAACATGCACGTTTGGCCTTGGAAACGTGCATGTTTGGCCTTGGAAACGTGTACGTTTGGCCTTGAAGGCATACACGTTTACTAAGTAGTTTTAAACAGTAGTTTTAGACCATATAAAGTTTTTACTTGCACTAGCATCGTTATTAATGTTGATACTTAGTAAAATTAATAATTCAATTTGTATAAAATCACAATCGTTTCAAATTTTGCTCTGAATGTACCCTTACGTTTGATAAACATGTGGACGTTACTCGTCAAATGTCAAATTACTGTCTAAAACCACTTAGAAACGTGCATGTTTCCAAGGCCAAACATACATGTTTCCAAGGCCAAACATACACGTTTCCAAGGCCAAACGTGCATGTTTCAAGTGTAAAACAACGCGTATAGAAGTGTTTGGGCCGAACGGTTGCTTGCAAATGGTAATAATAGCGGCTGCGAGGGAGACTAGACAATTACCTGATCTAATTGAAACCGTCAAATGGTCATTACAAACTTTGAACTTTCTTGGTAAAATCAATGGGCGTTCTTGTGAGAATAGACAGTGTTTTATCAGCGACTGTTCATCCTTAGTTGCAAGCGACGGTCATGCAGGAATAGTTTCGCCATCAATGGCAATGCAGGCACCCACATTCTTTCACCATTTCCTCGATCTTTGTTACAAAGTCTTGTTTTCTTTCCTTTGATGTGTAAATTATTTCATAGTGATCAAGAATTTCTTTTAATATAGTATTATTAAGTTTTGCGAGTCTTCCTTTTGCAGCATATTCACAAAGGTTAAAAGTATCATAGATAATTGGATGCTTCAAGCCAATGCGTTCATGGATAAAATTTAGCAACTCTAGTTCATTTTCATACTCTTCCCACTCATCGTCTGATTCTTCTTCGGTTTCTAAAGGTGCTGATCTTTTTCGTGAGGATGTCAGCCTAGAAAAGAAGCCTTTAATCTGGCTCTCTTTCAGCCACTCGTCTCTTGAAAAGAGTCTTTCCCCTTCCTCGTTCCTTGCACGACGCATGTCTTGTGCAACCTCTTTTGGTGTGATTTTGTTACCGGTCGTTATACCCAGGTCGAATTTTGTGGTTAAGTATGACTTTACGTGCTCTGCAAAACGAGCATTTCCTGAACTAGTTGCCAACGCCCACCCTTCACATAATTCAGAAGAACCACCAAACAGCAGTTCCTTGTGTTTCGCTTTGTCCTTGTTTGGCTTGAGATTTGTGATGGTGGAAAACTGCTTAGCCCAGTCTCGTCTTAGGGAATCGTACAAATTCTCTTTAGGCCGATGTGTAGAGGATTGGTGGTTTCCAACATCTAGATGGAGTTCCAGATCAGATAATGTGTCAAACGACTTATCGCACCCTGGCTCATTGCAATCAAATACATGAATCTCTTGATCTTCATTCTTCTTTGCATCTTCCTTTGTGTCCATTGTTCTACTTTTGCAAGGAAAGAATCCATGCTCATCTGACAGGTGCAGTAAAGAAGGGTGAACCAGGCGATTTTTGTACAGAGATTTAGTTTTAACTACTTTACCCTTTCCGATACCGTAAGCCCTCCAGACTCTTAGCTTATTCTTTTCAAAGCGAAAGTCGAGGAATTTGCTGAATCCGTCCATTTTTTGAACGTCGAAAGTATTTTTAGATTCGTCGATCACTCCAACGCTGGCAGTCACTCCTTTTACCGGTCGTTCTTTTAACGCAGTGTGCATGTCAACGGCAGAAAGAATGTTGTGTCCCTCATTGCAGAAAGAATTGATAGTTGACTTCATTGGACAAATAATCCTATCACAAATGTCTTTCCCACATTGCGGCTCAGAGAAATCATACCCTACAATCTGTACACCACTTGACTGAGAAAGATCATTGCACGCTAAAATCAGCATATTGTTGTGATAACAGCCCGCTTCATCCGACCTTAAAAATGCTTTAGTTATCTGCGGGTTTTCCTGTTTCACTGTCTGAAGAAGATTTTCTACAATTGACGCCACTGAAAACCAGTCTTGGTTACTATTGTCAATTAAGTGAACAAAAGACTGCACGCTCAATGTGTCATCATGCTTTGAAATAACGCTGCTAACATGCCACGACAACCCACGTTTCCCAAACCATTCAGATTGTTTCTCTCGATATTTTCTCGGCTGGAACTTCATGGCCCAGTCCATGACCACTAGAACTGTCTTCTCATCGAGTTGCCGAAGGGCGTCCTGCTTCCCATTCTCTTGATTGGTCGAGCGCAATATGTGAGACTTCCAGTCAAAAATATCCTTTGCAGCCTGTTTTAGGTCGTAGAGCATATCTTCCCGCCTTTCTGTCATGCTGGAATGTTGGCACAGGTTTTCGACTTTTTCTTCAATATCTTTGATGACAAATTTTAGATTTTCACATTCTTCACATTTCATTGAATGCTCATGAGGACAAGTTTGTTGTAGTTCCTTATCTTTGGGATCACTGAGAGCATACATCCTGCAGTGGTCTTTGCAAAGACAGCCATTTTCTTCTGTGCAATCAACGGGGTACTTGACTTTAAGGTACAGTTTACTATCACGCAGGATCTTCGTCGTATCTTCAACCCATCTCTTGTCAGCACCAAATTGACCCAACTCAGAAACGA